GTTTGTCTGAGCAAGAGCTCGTCCGAGGCCAGCACAGACGGGCGGGGGACGGATGTGACCGGGGCTACAGGGAAACGGCCGGATCCGCATGGCGGGATGCGGCCGTGTCCAAGGAGGACAAGGGATGCTCAGCACCCTGGCGGTGGGTGCTGCCTGCACCAGGCATTTATAGACAAACAGGCTTCCTGCCTTCTGCCTCCCCGAAGCCTGCGGGCAATGCTTTTATTGAAGCACTGATACAGGTTGAGGGGGAAAAGTAATCAAATGAAATCAAATCAAATGAGCAGAGCAGCTTTTGAGCACACCAGATCCTGCCTGAGCTGTCAAAGTACATCACGCTTTTACCCGCATGATGCTCTGAAATTGGGATGGGACCAGCATATGCTTGTGCACAGGGCTCCACAAGCACCCCCCCAGCACTGGGGAAACTGGGGGTGCCCCGGGGTTAGTGCTTATCCCACCTCAGAGCATCCACAGGGTGCAAAGGACATGCAGAGACAGGACAACCCTGCCTGGGCAGCAGGCGGATGGGCAGGGTGGGCTCTGCAACGCCTGCCAGCCCCTGCAGCTGCTCTGCCTTTGTCTCACTGGAGCATTCCCCTCCTTCCCAGCAGCAGTTTGAGGTCCCAAACCCCAAACCCGCTTCCTCCGGCACACGTGGGAGCAGCCAGGCTGCCCCCGCAGCCCTGATCCTGGAGATGGGAATTGCAGGCAGATGTTTGGGGGGAACACATGGTTGCTCGTCTGAGGAGCTTTGGGAAGGGCACGGGGAGAAGCAGCATCTCAATGTCCCCCTGGTCCTGGAGCACTGGATTCCCCCACAGCAGACACTGGTCCCAGTCCCATGGGAGCTTATTGCTCTGGTCAAGCTCGAACCCCATCCTGTGGGATGGATCCTGAGCACAGCAAACTCCCATTGCTGTCAGTGGAGGCATACCCTAGGGAAGATGGGTGCATGACCCATCCTAAACTGGCACCTGAGGCCACCCCACTCATCCCTCTGGCATCCTAGTGTTAGATGGGAAGGATCCAGCATCTTGGTGGGAGCCAGCATCCAGCCCCGCAGTGGCAGCTCCCAGTTGTGTGTGAGGGATTGATTGCCAGCACTCAGGGGAGCAAGAAAACAAGAGGAATGGGAAAGTGTCTCTGGGTACCCAGCTCCAATTCACCCTTCTTTTAACCAGCAATTGCCATGGCAACAGCTTCCGCAGGGAGAGATGCTGCGCAGCATCCCTACAGGGATGCCCAGGGGATGGAGCCCCAGCCCTTGGTGTGAACCAGCCACATGCCCATCGCAACGGAGCTCAGACCACACCACTGCGAAACCCAGACCCTCTGGCCTGCCCAAAACCTGCTTCCCAGCCACATTCCCAGCCCTGCCACCCATCCCTGAACCTTCCGTCCAGTTCCAGCCAGACGAGAAGGAGACAGGGATGCGGGATGCAAAGGGAGAGGCGGCAGCAGCCCCGTGACCAGCCACATCAACCCAACACCGAGCACATGGGCTCCTGCCAGCGAGGATTCAGGCTGGCATCTCCCAAGCCACTGGCAGCAGGGGACCCCCAAGGCAAAGGGAAGGAACAAAGTGAGTTCCCACAGGGGAAACTGAGGCACCGAGCTGTGCCCCAGGGTGGGGGGTGAGGAAGTCCAAGCCCTACCTGCATCCATGGCACTCATGCATCCCAGTTTCACTTCCATGGAGCAGCCCTCGGCTCCTCGCTCTGCCAGGACCCCCATTCCTGTCTGCCTTCGGCACCCCCGGCTGCTCCCTGCATTCCAGCTAAGGCTCCGTTCCCAGCCCATGTGAACAGGGAAAAAAAGGGAATAGCTGGAAAAGGCAGCCTCAAAAACCCCGGCTGTGCCCAGGGTGGGACAGAATAACAGCATGAGTCAGTGTTTGTCTGGGCAGAGCCTGCCAGGGTGCGCAGGGCAGGACGGGTCGGGATGGGATGGGATAGGATGGGATGGGTCTCTACATGCTGTTCCCCATCACAGTGCGGGGTCACCCTAGTGGAGAGAACACCCAAATCCAGCCAGAAACTGGGGTTCAACCTCAAAGCACAGGTCATGCAAGGGTGAAACTGCTGCAGGAGCCGGGTAAAGGAGCCTGCCCTTCCCTGGCACAAAGTGCCTGGGTTGCTAAGAGCAACCCCATTAGTAAAAGTCCGACCCTTTGCTCCCCAAACTTTCTGTTCTTGGGAAGGGTGGAGGATTAAAGAGGAAAATCATAGAACCACAGACTGGTTTGTGTTGGAAGGGACCTTAAAGCTCCTCCAGATCCAACCCCTGCCCCGGGCAGGGACACCTTCCACTAGAGCAGGTTGCTCTAAGCC